AGAGAGAGAGAGAGAGAGAGAGAGAGAATCCCAAGTAGGGTCCACGCTGTCAGCACGGAACCTGATGTGGGGCTTGAACTCACAAACATGAGATTGTGAACAGAGCCAAAGTTGGACACTTAACCCACTGAGCCAGGTGCCCCTGGTTGAGACCATTTTTAGAACTCATCCTCACACACGTGGAACAACCCCCAACCTAGGCAGCTGCAGGAGGACAAGTAGGGTGGGGAGGTTCTGACATATCCTAGTCTCATCAAGTCCAAAATCTGCAGGAAAAGGTGGAGGTACAGAGGCTCTAGGGTTCCACACACTTAATGCTGCCTTTCAGAGCCTCAGTTTCTTTACCTGGAGAATGGGGAGAATACCCGCTGCCCTAAGGAGTTGCTCAAAGGAGTGCATAAGCTTGTTTGCTACTTACTGCAAGAAGGGCCCACACCCAGTGCACACCTTGGCCCTCCCCTGGGCTAACTGCTCCTTCTGCCTTAGGACACAATCCACTTCCTACCACCCTGCACTTGAGCCTTCCGGCATGCCTTGTCCTGCCATTTTCGTTTTCCTGTGTGCATCTTGTCATCAAATGAATGGATCCCATTTCCCAGCTGTGTCCTCCATCAAGAATGCACTTCCCCACTCCACCCAATTTTACTGGGATGTGTTATTCATGTCATGTGTCACCCACAGAGAAGTGACTCTCCCAGCAGAGGGCTGAGCATCAAGAGGCGCCTCAGCACTCCCTGGTAGGTCCCTTTGGTGGCGCTGTTCCTGCTATGCTGTTGTGTTCCTCCACTATTTGTCACTCCCCTCACCCCATGGGCTCCTCAGGGGCAGGAGGAAAGTGTCTTCATCTTCTTGGTGTCCTCAGCACAATGCCTGGCCCCCAGGAGATGTCTGGAAGTGTTTGTTCAAGAAAGACCAGAAGAACCAGGTTGAAAACCAGAGAGCACCTACTCTTTATTTTTTTTTTATTTATTTTTTTTTTTTAAATTTTTTTTTCAACGTTTATTTATTTTTGGGACAGAGAGAGACAGAGCATGAATGGGGGAGGGGCAGAGAGAGAGACACAGAATCGGAAACAGGCTCCAGGCTCCGAGCCATCCGCCCAGAGCCCGACGCGGGGCTCGAACTCCCGGACCGCGAGATCGTGACCTGGCTGAAGTCGGACGCTTAACCGACTGCGCCACCCAGGCGCCCCAAGCACCTACTCTTTATGATGGTCTCTCCTGTGAGACTGCACACCAAGGCTCCGTGGATATTTGCTAGGTGCTGACAGTGTGCAAAGTGTGCTCCAAGGAGCTGTGGGGGAGAACAGTGACCCTGGCCCTGCCAATCTGGGATGGCTGAGGAAACACATTCACAGTCAGCTAACCCAGAGACAAAAAGTGAACAGGGAACCAGAAATCTTTAAATTCAATAAAAACAGAAGGACCAGAGTGAAAGATGATGCAGAACCCGACCTGGAATCCAAATGGCCTTTTCTTTTTTTTTTTTTAATTTTTTTTTTTTAACGTTTATTTATTTTTGAGACAGAGAGAGACAGAGCATGAATGGGGGAGGGGCAGAGAAAGAGGGAGACACAGACTTGGAAGCAGGCTCCAGGCTCTGAGCCATCAGCCCAGAGCCCGACGCAGGGCTCGAACTCACAGACCGTGAGATCGTGACCTGAGCTGAAGTCGGACGCTTAACCGACTGAGCCACCCAGGTGCCCCTGGCCTTTTCTTGAGAATCCCTAGGAGTTCTGAGGCATGCTGTATCCCCAGGAAACCTCTGCAGAGAAACTCTTAAAAGTTTCAACAGCTAGAGAAATGCTGTGAAGAAGTATATACAACAAATCGCCTGCGTCTGTGATAACACGTTTCTTTAGGGACATACAAGATGCCGTCACATTTATATTAACTGTAAGGTCATAAGGAATTGCGTATCATATTCCCGTCACCCTAAGGCACCATCAGCTGACAGATATCTGGGTTCAGTGAGTCCCTGCTCTCAGGATCAAGGCAGAGGAACATGCAGATGGACAGACAGGTCCTGACTGGTGTGTGCCAGCACGTACCCTTCTGGCAAGAGACCGAGAGGCAGAATTCCAGAGAAAGAGCGTGAGGCAGACAAAAGGACACCCTCTCAATTGATAAATGGAACTTCAGATCAATCACAAGAGAGGACGTGGAGGGGCAGGCAGAGAGAGGGTAGGAGCCAGAAGAGAAAGAGGAGCCAGAGATGTGGGCTCCAGGGAAGGGGGGCTGCAGGGCAGAAGCGTCTAGGTGACACTCGAGGTGCCTACAGACCTGCAGTGAGCAGTGGACCTGCAGTGACCCAGGGACTGTGGACGTGTTCAAAACACAGAGCAAGCCACAGCTCCGTTTATGTATTTATGGTCAAAAGAGGTTGCACCTGTTTTGCCACAGGGGCATCGGCAGGCAGGGGAGTTCTGTTCTGAACAAGTCCCACACGCATGGTCCGAGGTGGCCTCAGTTGCTCCTTTGCTGCCTCAAAGGCATATCCTTGCAGCTCAAAGTCCCCTTCAGAGGCGGCTTCAAAAGCCCTGCCGGGCAGATCGAGCTTCCTAAATGGACAGGAAAGTAGAAGGGAGACAATTTGCATGAGGTCTGCTGAATTTAAATTCACCTCCAACCCCCCAGTAGTCATCTATCTGGTAGAGAGGAGGCAGGGATGTTTGGCAGGAAGGCACAGAGAGAAGCCCAGGGCAAGGGCCCACTTGTGGGAAGCTGGAGTGGGGGCCAGGAGGAGGGAGGGCCCCGCCTGGTGGAGAATGGATACTATGCTGAGTATGGACTTCACCAGGGAGATGCCGTAGTCTTCTGGCCTGGGAAAGCAGGGGAACAGGGAGGGGGGCTGCAGAATGACTGGTCAAGAGGTTGATGTTTTAGAGCTGCTGACCTCAGGGTGGGGATTGATTTCAGCAGTCAGCACAGAAGAGGAGAGGTAATGGATTTCCAAAATGTGTGTAGACTAGAATCAGAGGGCTGTGCTGAGCCTGGTGCAGGCTGTGATAAGATAAAGTGGCTGTTGAGAACAGGACTTAGGAGATTGATAGCATAAGGGAGGGTCCTGTGACCATTCACCACTAAGGGTTACAAGTCTCTAGTGAGCCCCACTGCCCTGTCCTGTTGCTCCCACTGGGGGCAATTCCATGCCCAGTGCTGAGTGGGCTTGGTGAAGCCCAGGTGTCCAGACCAACGGCCCAGGCACTCACCCTGGTTTGTGGTTTATTAACAAAGGCAAGTGGATTATTTATAAAATCTCCCAGCTTAAGTGACCACTGGCCAAACGGCAAACACCTCCTGATGCTGGTTGGGTGCTGTGCACTGAGGTGAAACCCACAAGAGCAGGGGACATGGCCTCTGGCCAGGAAGGCCTTACCATCTAGGGGCGAGATGGTTATGAAATACTCAGAGAACACATCAAAAAATAACCTGACAGCCATTATCTAATAATAATATTTCTCTCCTACTTTAAATCACTTTTTTAAAGATGTTTCTTTCAAAATCACAGCCCTGTCAGCCCAAGCCCCCTGCCGCCACCCCCTGCCAGGCGGTTTCCATGTGACGGCCCTGACAGCTCCAAGTTGGGTTCCGCCCCTGACAATCAGCCTGCTTTTCAACTAGTCAGAGTTCCGTTTGCTAGCAGGTTAGAAATAGCAGCAGTGCCCACACCGTGCCTCCCCTTACTGTGACTGCCTCAGACACAGTCCCCTTGCCCTCAGGGAGAGGACTCCCCACTCCTGTAGACCTCAGCCCCAGGACAAGTCATCATGGGGGACAGGAGAAGAAGAAGGGCTCTGTGTGTCTGTTTCCTCTTAGGCCCACGGGTGGGGGGAGCAGGACCATCCTTTGGGAGACATCTTGTCAGGCCCATCCTCAGTCTGGGTCTCATGCCAGGAAGATAACAGATGGAAGAGATCTTGTCTCGCCTTTCCAAGTCCACCTGTAGCTGTCACCTGGATGACAGATATCCCTCAGCCTCTGTCCTTCCTCATCCACTGCCCACAGCTGTTGGCTCTCCCCATCTGTTCACCACCATGAGCCCTGTTATTCTGATATGCAGCCTTCCTGCCTTCTCACTATGTTGAATGCTGCCACACACACCCCTTCCAGCAACCTGTGGACAATCATTCTCTTAGGCTTGGGGTGGTGCAGACCACACCACTCTATCCTCACACGGAGTTACCTTCAGGGCTCTGCCTCCTCTCAGTACTCCCCGGTTGTCTTGTCACCTCAACCCTCTTGTTATCCAGGTGGTCCATCACCACATCCTGCTTCACTTAGTCTTGGAGAACCCAACAGACCCTCGAGCCCCATTCCATAAACAAGTACTGTGCCCACCAAAGGCTTGGCACAGGGAGGTGGTGGGACATAGACCAGCTATGGCTCATGTGGGGGCAGAGACCAGATGAACCACAACCTCACAGAGGCTCCGTGCTGCCCCAAACCCTCCCTTGATCCCTAGAGTCGACCTTCTGCCCTTCTACCCCTTATCCTGCTACTAAGGCCCCTCATGGGCTCACCTCTAATGTCAAGGAGGAAAGCCCATCACTTCCTGCTCAGCCCCAACATACCCTCCTGGGCCCCTCCCCCAGCTCCTACCTCTCCAACCCAGGGTCAGGGCAGACATGGCCTGAGGGAGCCCAGCTCCTGCCTCCTCTGCAACCTCTGGCTTTTGGAACTTCATCTTTCCCCACTAATAGCTCTTTTACCATCAGTGTTTTAAATAATTAAACTAGAGCTTTGCTACAAAAGAAACACATGCTTGTGGGAGGGAAAAAAATCAAACAGTGGGAAAGGAAGGTATCAAGTGAAAAATGAGTTCCCCTCTCCATCCCACCATTAAGCTTCTGTCCCAAACCTCAGAGGCAACCCCTCTTAACAATGTTTTAGGTATCTTTCCAATATTTTCTTAAATGTGTGTCCTAAATGACACCCACATTGGTGTCCTTCTGTGTATTCTGTTCTTCCACTTACTTGCCTTTTTTACTTAGCAATATTCATAGCTTGGACACCTCGCCCTGGCTCCTACAGACCTACCACATCCACCATTAAAGCTATTTGAGTCTCTCCCATTAAAAAATAAATAACAGAGAGAAAAAAAAAAAAAA